TACAAAAAAAAAAAAAAAAAGAAAAGAAAGAAAGAAAGAAAGAAAGAAAGAAAGAAAAAGGGAAGAAAAAAGAATATTCGAGGATAAATGATCATTTGAAAAAATTATATGTAACAGCATGAACGTCAATATATAAACAATGATTACTAATCATTAAAAATGCTGTATAGCAGGAATATGGCATAAATTGATAATTAATAAAAGAAGAAATACAAAGAGCCAGCAAATGTAGGAAAAATATTTAGTCTCATTAGTAATTATTTAAAAAAATTAAGAAATGAGCTATGAGCTATCAGGTTGAGAATACCGAAAAGCCTAACTGTTAGAATAGGAGAGAAGGATGGATCCTCCCAGGGAACAGATGAGTGTGGGCTCTCTGGAGGGATGCGGAAAGTATGTAAAAACTCATTTAAATACTTGTTGGTTCAACAGTTTACCCCCTAGGCATTTATGCTGAGAAATCAGTTAGGCAAATAGGCAAAAATGTAATTATAATGCTGTCCATTATTTTTAGTGGCAAAAAATAAAAGGCAACTTGCACACCCATCACTCGAGTATTGGTTAAAGACTTTATGACCACATCCTTAAAACAGACCATCAGACAGCCATTAAAAATGGTCTGATGGAGGCAGGATGGCTAAGGTCTAATTAGAAATATCTTATTTATCCTTGCATTGCCTTAATACCTAGCTTGGTCCACAGAATTTGATTTTAAAGAAGAGTTCTCCAGGGAGGTGGGAAATACCTTCTTCTTCCCCCTTGATTTCTGAGGTAGTCTTCATTCAGCCACATTGTAAATCAAAGCCATAGTCAAATCTGAGAGTGATACTTGGCAATATCATAGACTTTTTTCGATTTTCTTTATTATTATTATTAGTACTATTTATTTTTTGGCTGGGGCTGGGTTTGAACCTACCACCTCTGGTTTATGGGGCCAGCTCCCTACTCCTTTGAGCCACAGGCACCGCCCGACCTTTTTCCATTTTCTTACCCACAGACTCTTATCATGTTCCCGGATAATTTTGATCCTTTTGAGAAAATTGTACAGGTTGTGAAGAATACAACCTCTCCCCACCACCCTTACCTGAACACCCGTGGCCACAACCACCATCAATCCCATCTCACCTGGATTTCAGCAATGGCCTCTCAATAAGTGTTCTTATTCCCCAAAGTTCATTCTCAACATAGAAGTCAGACTGACCATTTTAAGCCTGTAAGATCGTATTATTCCTCTGTTTGAAACCTTGCAAAGATCCTTATTTCTTTCAGAATCAAAACCATACTCCTTTAAATGGCCTGCGATGATCTCCATGAACGGTCACCACCCCTGTTATTCTGACACCATCTCCTACTATTTCTTCCTTTACTTCCTCTGCTCTGGTCATCCTGGCCTGAGGCTGTCCCTTTGACAGGCCAGGCATGCTGCCACCTTAGGGCCCTTACCTCCCTCAACTCCTATAGGACTGTACATAAACCTTAGCTTCTCAATGAGGGCCTATGTGACTACAGTATTTAATACTGCAGTCTGCCGTCCTCTGAACCTCTCCTCAGGACTGACCATCCTTTTCACCCTGGCATGCCTTGTGTTTCATCCTTAGCCATTATCATTGTAAAATCATTATCTTTTGTGTTTGTTGTTTGTAACCCCTCGACTTGAATGTAAGCTTTATAAATAAAGGAAAGTATCTTTGTTTTGTTCACTGATAGGTCCCAAGTACCTAGAAGGGAGAGTGGCCACGGGTGGGTAGTACAAATAGATGCATCTGTTGAATAGCTTGAATGGAAAGTAATTATATAAATGTATTAGTGATAATTAATCAATAACTTTTACTGAGCACCTGCCATGTCCCAGGAGATGTGTATGTATCATATCAAAATGCTCCCTCTGAATTTATAAAGCAAGTATCATTATGACCAGCAAATTACAGATGGGGAAGCTGAGGATTAAGAACACAAAATTACATGTCTAAGACTCACAGCAAGTATAAATGAGAACTTAGATATAAACTCCATAGGCCTGACCTCTGTGGACCCCATTCAAGCAGAACAACGTTACCTCTGTATTATTCATTTAGTGAGATTCTATAGAATGTCATTCGGGAAAGGGAGTTTTTCTATGTAAATATTTTTGACAACCACTGTCCTAAGTATTTGAACCAAACCAAAATCACATGGTGGCAATTGCAGGCCTTTAGCCGATTTCCATGTCACTAAATCCTGTGACATTTGTCATTTATCCCCCCTCCCCCTTGCCCTTGGGTGCTTGGTGTTAAGGAAGAAAAAGTAAACAAGTTCTGCAAATTTAAAGATTTTCTTCTACCCTTATTTTTTAAAAAAAATATACTCCTCAACTCTGAATTTCGTTGTGTTGGGTTTTTGTTCTGGTTCCGCATCTTTGGTTTACATTAGTCCCAAGGATTGTCCCCTCACACTCCCCATTCTGTCTTGCAGGTGAATGATATAAATCTGACCCACATTGAGTCTAGACCTTCTCGTTTAAAGAAAGACGAGTATGAGTTTTTCACCTACATGGATAAACGCAGCGCGCCTTCCCTGGAAAACATCATCAGGATCTTGAGACATGACATTGGCGCCACTGTCCATGAGCTTTCCCGAGATAAGAAGAAAGACACGGGTAAGAATTAGAGGAATTTTGTACCCTGTCTTTATAAAATAACAGCAAAAGTAAAACCTACTCTGTAGGGGGTGGAGTTAAGCAGTGATGGCAGAGTGGGGACCTCGGCAAGTGCTTAGCATATTGTAGACGTATAATGAATGTTAGTTCTTTTTTCCTGTCCTCCAGACACTCATAGTTATTTCCCATATTAGGAGCTTTCTTTCTGTTTCGGCCGTCTATGTATGTCCTTTCCATTTCTGGATTAGTCTGACCTTGATCATCTATCTCCAGAGGTGAGATGGTTAGAGTGTCTGGGATACTTTCTATTTGCGTTTTGCAGAAACGCAAATTCAAGACAAGATGTCTAGTTAGCTCTGTTCCAACAACAAGGTTCTCCCTGAGTCCTTCTCCTAACATGCCAGTCCTGAAGCTGGGACTGCAAGGTTCCTTGTCCCTGGAGTTTTCATTGTCATTCATTTCCCATCTGCTTATCTGTCTCTTCTACTAAGTTAGGAGCTCCTGTGGGCAGGGAGCCTCTCTTGTCATATATATATCCTCAGAGTTTATCACAATTCTTTTTTTTTTTTTTTTGCAGTTTTTGGCTGGGGCTGGGTTTGAACCAGCAACCTCCGGCATATGGGGCCAGCACCCTACTCCTTTGAGCCACAGGCCCCAGGCCTAGCACAATTTTTGGTATGCAAATGCTCAATGAACATTTGTGAGTGAATGGCTTAATACAGAAATTGTCATGACTTGCTCAGTTCCGTTATCTGCTTACTGAAATGCTGCCCACTGTCCTCTGGGGGGAGGGGAGCAATCGAGTGTACGCATGATAAAAAACATTCTGGGGAATGAATCGACTTCAGTTCCCAGTGCTGCTTCTTCCACTTGCTGCTTTGAGACACCTGACGAGTCCCTTTAACTGCTCTGACCTTAATTTTTTGGGAGCCTTTGCAAGGATTAAATGAAATAAAACATGCACAGTGCTTAGAACAGTGCCTGGAACAGGGCAGGCCTGGATAAATGATGGTTCATGGTGGTTACTGTTATGATTATAATTAGCTTTGAAAGAATACAGAGGAGCAAAGTGACCCAAAGCATATTCAGATGGACCATTTTAGACCACTATTAGGTTTGCCGAAAATTTGCACAGAGCATAGAGTTTCTATACACCTTCTTTCTCTCCCACCCTTCCCCCACTCTAGTTTCCCCTTTAACATTTTGCATTCATGTGGGTGCATTGTTTATAACTGACAAGCAAGTGTTGATGTATTATTGTTAACTAAAATCCATAGCTTACATCTGGGATCACTCTTTGTGTTTCCAGTTCTACTGGTTTTGACAAATGCGTAAAGTCACATATCCACCATTACAATGCCACACAGAATAGTTTCACTGCCCTAAAAATGCCCTGTGCTCCAGCCATTCATTCCTCCTCATTCACACCTTCCCTCCAGCAGCCACTCAGCCTTTTACTGTCTCTGGGGTTTCGTTTTTGTTTTCAGAAGGTCATCTGAGTGGACTCCTGCAGCAGCCCTTTCAGAGTGGATCCCTTCACTTAGCAAAGCACAGGTCCAGTTCCTCCATGTCTTTTTGTGCTGAATAACGTTCCATTGTAGGGATATACCACAGTTTTGTTTTATTCATTCATTTATTGAAGGACATCTTGGTTGTTTCCAATTTGGGGTGATTCTGAATAAAGCTGCTATCAACATTCATGTGCAGGGTTTTGCGTGGACATAATGCTTCTCTCATTTGGGTACCTACGTGTGTGATCACCGTGATGACGTTTTTAAAACAGTCAGTTATTTTTCTACTGTAAAATCAAGTTTCTTTGCAAAATACTGAAGACTTTAGGTCCAGAGGATTTCAAGTATTGTAGCTTAAATAGTATTTTAATAGGCAGAAATGCTTTAAAACGAGATAATAGCCACCTCATAAGACAGGACCCGGAAACATTTTCTAAAAGGTAGCTGCAAGGTCTTCCTAGGAAATCTCTTCTTTTCTGCCTTTGTCCTCCTGTAGACGGGCACAGGAAGCTCACCCCAGGGCCCTGCCTTTGCAGAGAGAAGACACCACGCAGATGGGCTCAGGTCGGGGAGGAACTTGTAATTCCTTCCTAGATCAGCCCTATCTGCTTTTTCTCCCCTTAACCTCCCAAGTTGCTTCTCTGATGACTGCCCTCTCCTGCTTTTCCGGCCACCTGCCCCCAACAGGAGCTGCAGGCCCTCTGGACAAAGGGGCTGTCTGGTCCTGGGGCAACTCTGCCCCTGGTTGGAGCAGGTGGAAGCTGGGCCAGCTGGGGCCCTGGGGGAGGAAGTCAAAGCAATTGACAGGCAGGCAGGCAGCCCCCAGGGCAGCCAGGGAGATGGAAGGGACCAGCTGGAGGACTGGCAGTCAGACCGGAAGGCACAGGAAGGGGGTTCCTAGCAGGGACATAACAGGAGAGTTAGAGCTCAGATCTCAGAACCAGGGCACTACCCTTGGTGTGACCTGGAGCAGATTACTGTCCCTTGAAGTCTCCCACTGTATCAAATGGGAGTAGCAAGAGCCTCTGCCTTACGGAGTGATGAAATCCCACTGAGGACGAACCGAGCACGTCTGAGGGTTTCGGAGGTCCTCCCTACTCTTACCACTGTCATCATTCGTCATTGTTATAAACACCAGCATGAGCACAGGAGCCATCCAGAGCCAGCCTGTGCACAACTACTTTTTCAGAGATTCTGAGATCTGAGAAATGACCTCAGAGTCACGGAGCCCTTACAGACCCCCTGATTTTTCATTGTAAAACAGAGGCCTTGACTTGCCTGAGGCACCAAGTGGATTCTGTGCGGTCAGGGGCATGGACATGTTGTGTGCTGCTGTGCTGGCCACAGTGCCAGCAGCTGGAGAGAGAAGGTCACCCTACCTGTTCTGAGGAGCTCACAGTTTGCCAAGGGGGCACATGATAATGGGTAAACGCAGGGGGAGGACGGGTGCTGCCCTGGAGATGGGGCTGGTGGAATTGAGCCTCTTCTCTACTTGTGTTTAACTCTGAGGACTCAGGCAGTGTGAAAACATAAAAGCTGATGTTTGTACCCAGAGGTATCAGTGTCATTAATCACTGCCAGGGTTATCAGAAGCTGATGATAATCCAGATTCAACTCCCTGGCAGGGTTCTCACCCTGTTGCTCCAAATGGCAGGGCATTGGTATTTGAAGTTGGGATGATATTTTGCCCAGTGAAGAAACAATGGCTAGACTAACCCTCTAAAACAACATATATTTTCATGACCCTTATTTCTTCGGCTAGTTGGTCACCCCCATCCCATAGTGGCTGCCCCCACCTGACCTTAACTTACCTATGCCAGAACAGCTGATGCTGAAATAGCACCGCTGCATACCTGCTGAGAGAGACGGCCCTTTGCGTTTCTCTGGTGGTTTTGGTGAAATGGAGTCTGGGCCCAGAAACAGATCTTTTTAGGAAAAACGACCAGCCTTTTGCAAAGTTGCTCTTTCTGTAGGTCTCAGTGGGAGAATGATCAGAGGAAGAAAAGCATCGTAGTAGATGTGAACCTTTGATTCTTTCTCTGGACAAAATACCCTTTGTATTGAAGGTCTCAGATCTCAGGGGTGAGTCTGACAGCAGGTTCAAGTGGGAGATCTGAACCCCTCAAATCAATTAAGCTAAACCACTTTCCACTCTAGTTTTTCATCCATTCAGAAAGCCATGTGGGTGATAGAAAATGAAAGTTTTTCACTTTCTTAATTGCTAAAGTTCCCCACCCAAAACAGCTTAAGGGAAGGTTAATTACGGTGACATGTTAAAGAAACCCCAACCTTCTCAAATGCCTCCTGGAGAAGCTGATGTGAATTTAATAGGATTTTAATCCACAGAGTCTTTTGAATACTTGAGTCTATTCTCCCGCTACCGTCTCTCCTGATGACCTCAAATCCTTCTTCAACCCAACATGAAAGAGCATTAATATCTTCCATCGATCAATCTACTAATCCTTTTACCTTTCCCTTTGAGTCTTCTGCATAACATTACATCTAGTGGGGTATAGAGAATTCCTACATGGAGACAGAATGCAGCTGGAAGAAGCAGACAAAATGTATCGGGGTAGGCAGAGGCCCCCGGGAGCATCCCCTATTTCCGAAATCTGTCTGTTTGACGTTATTTTCTAAGAGCAAATGGGCATTTGTTGGATTTTGTTTAAGTTGCAGTGATGATAAGGGTTGTGGTGGGGAAGCAGAGGGAATGCAGGCTGCCAGGGCAAGGCCATTCTCTGTGGAAAGCAGAAAGGGGACCTAGTCTTCTAGCTAGTCCCGGGGCACTTCGGATTACCAGCAACATCATTTATGCTTACTCCTTCCCTCTTAGAGTCCCCCACTCCCTTCCTGAGTTGTTGTTTTTCTACTTCAATGTTGTTGCCGGGAAGAACAGTGCTGAGTAAGACTGACAATTCAGATCAGGTGGGGTTGGGGAGAAGGACAGGATTCCTTAGAGGACCCTGGAAGGCCTCCAGGATTGTGGGCAAAATGGTGCACATGCCCGTGAATGCATACTTTTTAGGAGAGAAGAATTTTCAAAGGGGCCAGGGTTCCAAAAGAGTTAAGAATCTTTAGAAGGAAGCTGCATAGGCCTGGGGGGATTCCAGATGGTTGGAATTTCCCCCCCATTTCCACCCCTCATACCCTTTCTTTCCTCACTTCTGCCTCTGCTTGGCTATTTTGTCTCCACCTCCCACTGCCCTTTTCTCAGCTCTAAACCTTCTCCTGTGCGTTTCATTGGCCCCACATGTATCTTTCATAGCTATACATGCTGTGGCCCCGGGTCTGCAGGAGGCCAAGTATCTGCCCATTTAAGAAAACACACAAACTTGACTGCCTTCTCCAATCTCTACCCAGATGCTTGCTCAGTGCCTTGAGGTAGCCCTAAGTCCTGGCAGCTGGAGAATTGATTTTTGCTTCTGCAGATGGCTGCACCAACACGAGCAGACCCCAGCTGAGAGGATATTCAGGGGGAAGGAACACCCC